TGTATTGATTTTCTCACTGACATTCACAATGAAAAAGTATTCATGATTGTGTCGGGTGTATTAGGGCAACATATAATACCAGAAATTCAAGAATGCCCACAACTAACCTCCATTTATGTTTTATGTCATAATCAAGCGACTCATATGGAATGGATCAAAACAATATCTAAGGTAAAAGGTGTGTACACACAAATTGAACCAATTTGTGACGCATTACAAATCGACCGAAGAAATTGTGACCAAAATATGGTCTCAATCAGTTTTAATCGTATTGATCCGTTATTTATGTATACACAATTGTTAAAAGAAGCACTTTTGGAAATCGAAGATGATGATACAGAATCAATTAATGAACTCGTTGAATACTGTCGTCTTCACAGTGATGCTTCCGAAAAAACACTTAAAATGATCGAAAAAGAATATCGTAATCATACACCCATTTGGTGGTACACGGGTCCATTTTTTATCTACTCTATGCTCAATCGTGGTCTTCGACTAATGGAAGTCGACATTATACTTAAAATGGGCTTTTTCATCCGCCATCTACATCAATATATTACAGACTTACATCGTAAACAGCAAAGCAGCAAAGCAGCCATGCCATCGAAATTTCAAGTTTTTCGTGGTCAAGGCTTATCTATGGAAGCCTTTGAAAAAATGAAGAAAACGAAAGGTGGACTTATGTCGTTTAATACTTTTTTGTCGACAAGTCGTAATCGTGAGATTTCTTTCGAAAGCTTTGCACGGCCAGCAGCATTCGATGCAAATACAGTTGGCATTCTCTTCATTATGAGCATCAATACGGCTGTTTGCACAGCATCATCGACACCTTTCGTCAACGTCAAAGATGTTGGCTTATATGATGATCAAGAAGAAGAAATTCTTTTTTCGACACATACAATTTTTCGCATCGATCGTATAGAACGTATTGAAGATAAGCATACAGATCGTCTCTGGCAAGTCAATCTCACCCTCGCTGGTAATCAAGATGATGATTTTAACAAACTTACAGTACATTTACGCAAAGATCATAGTTGGGCAACAGGTTGGGCTCGACTTGGTCATATACTTATTAAACTGGGCGAGCCTGCAAAAGCAGAACATCTCTATCAGCTGCTCCTTCAAAGGGCATCGTCTGATGGAGATCGGGCGAACTACAATTTACAACTCGGGTTGGTGTATAAAGACATAGGAGAATATTCGAAGGCAATAACATTTTACGAAAGAGCAATCGATATCTACAAGAAAATGAGTCCTCCGAGTCAGCTCAACTTGGCCGCTGCCTACAACAACATCGGTTCGGTGTATGATAACATGGGCGAGTACTCGAAAGCACTTTCATCGTACGAACGAGCACTTGAAATCCAAAAGATAGCTCTCCCTCCGAATCATCCCGACTTGGCTACTTCCTACAACAACATCGGTATGGTGTATGATAAAATGGGCGAGTACTCGAAAACACTTTCATCGTACGAACGATCACTTGAAATCCGAAAAATAGCTCTCCCTCCGAATCATCCCGACTTGGCTGCTTCCTACAACAACATCGGTAATATGTATTATAACATGGGCGAGTACTCGAAAGCACTTTCATCGCACGAACGATCACTTGTAATTCGAAAAATAGCTCTCCCTCCGAATCATCCCTTATTGGTTTCTTCCTACAACAACATCGGTGCAGTGTATGATAACATGGGCGAGTACTCGAAAGCACTTTCATCGTACGAACGGTCACTTGAAATCCGAAAAATAGCTCTCCCTCCGAATCATCCCGACTTGGCTGCTTCCTACAACAACATCGGTTCCGTGTATTATAACATGGGCGAGTACTCGAAAGCACTTTCATCGTACGAACAGTCACTTGAAATCCGAAAAATAGCTCTCCCTCCGAATCATCCCGACTTGGTTGCTTCCTACAACAACATCGGTGCAGTGTATGATAACATGGGCGAGTACTCGAAAGCACTTTCATTATACGAACGATCACTTGAAATCCGAAAAATAGCTCTCCCTCCGAATCATACCGACTTGGCTGCTTCCTACAACAACATCGGTGCAGTGTATTATAACATGGGCGAGTACTCGAAAGCACTTTCATATTACGAAAAGGCGCAAGACATCTGGAAAAAATCACTACCTTCAAATCATCCGTATATTGCGGGTGTGAAAAGAAACATTGACAATGTGAAAAAGAAAATGTAATTGTTTTTTTTTAAATAAGAAAATAAATTGACCATCTTGAACACGTTTGGCTCGCCGAAGCACACCAACTACAAAAGTTTCGCGCACACGCGACCAGGGATACCCTCCGTATTCTATTGGGTTGCACAGTGGACAAAGCCGTCAATGATAAGGCAAACATAGATTTATGTATGTATGACTAGTACATCCATGATCATCATCTTCGGAAAGACGATGACGAGATGAATGCTTCTAGTCATACATACATAGATGTATGTTATGAAAACCTACCATCTACACGCCTTTACAGGTTACCAACAGAACGTCGGATATCCCTGGGAAGGTTCATTTTGTTTCAGAGCCGCCCTCAAAAGCTCCGTTTGATTTAAATTTTTTTTGTTCTTCTGTTACGAAGAACGAGAAGAAAGACGACCTTGACGGAATTTTAATACGCAGCGTATAATGACAACCGGTTGTTTTAACGCATGCTGTGATATTGAGTGCACGATATCTCTATTGTCTTTACACATGTTATGTTCAATTTATTTTTCTTTTCATCTGGAATGTGTAAGAACAAATGAGATGTCGTGCACTCAATATCATTTTATACGAGTGATCACTGAACGAAAGAAGAACACAAAATAAAAATTATCGACTATTCTCTTTGATTAGTAACATACACATATGTAAGAGATAATTGAAGGAAGAAAATGAAAAAGGAATTTTTATAAATTGAATCATTTTTTTTACTTATTACATAACGTTTTACAAGAATACTATTTTACGATCATATTGATTGAATATAATATAATAAAACAGAAGTTCAAATAAATCAAGTGCAGTAGTTGATTTTTATTTTTAAAAGAATTTTTTCATATTTTTTAATAATAATTTAGAGTCAAAATTATGGATCTAATATAATGATTTGTAGAATAGTTTTTCGTTCATCCATTGATGAAGGTGAATATTTATGTTTATTTATTAAAAAGAACAGAAATATCAATGGTGGTTATGAATATTCAATCGATGTTAGGGTGGGTGTCGGTAAATAACAGCGAATATCCACACCCACCCATCCTCACCGAAGTTTCGAGAATATTCTCACGATTATGCAACATAAATATAACGAAAAGTTTAAGTTGAATGGCGTTTGACAGTAGAAGAGATGATCTCGTTGGTTTACTTCTTGTCTATGATGCATTAGTCTTCATTTGATAGTCATTTTTCTTGTTATTTATCTGTCTCTATGATGATAACAGTGCTTATCTATTTTCTTCTTCAATCACATCTTGCTCTTTTTAATAAGATATCTTTTCAAGACGAAAAAGTCTTTTTAATGTGATGATTATATATGCGATAAGAAAAGTTTCAAAAGCAAACTTACTTTTGCGAATTCGTTAAGTTACACTTCATGTT